GAACCTGAACCCCATCGCGCAGCCGCTCGCGTCGCGCAAGCTCACGCGCAAGCTGTACAAGTGCATCAAGAAAGGTGGGGCCGGGCCGCACGTGGGGAGCGGGGCCCGCGCGGAACCGGCGCTGACGTCTCGCGCGTCTCTGTCTCTGTCTCTGTCTCGTGCAGCCGCGAAGCACAAGCAGATCCGGCGCGGGGTGAAGGAGGTGCAGAAGTTCATCAACAAGGGCGAGAAGGGGTAAGACCGGGGCGGGATGAGCGCGTGCAGCGCCGAGGGGCGAGCCACGCTCGGGGCGGCTCCTCGCGCCACCTGCGCACGGGGCGGGGGGGCTGCGGCAGGCTTCCGGACACAAGGTGCCGACCCTCGGGTCTGGGAGAGGAAGAGAAGCCGGTGCAGCCGAGTACGAGGAAGAACAGTCGCTTTTGTTCGGCCCGGTCCGTTGCTCGCAGGAGTTGGAACGGACTACCGATTGTGCACCCGTGGCTACTTGTAGCAGCGTTCAGGTGTTTGACTGGTGCCTGCTGCATTGTAACATAACAAGGCTTGGCACTTATGGTGAAGAGAGAGATTTCACAAAGACCCGGCGTGAAAGCTGAGTAACAGCTGAGTGCAGATAGGTAGGTGCTTCACCTACAGCTGCTCGCTACAGAAACTCGGTGCTCGCTGCTGTGGGTGCTGCCCCGCCGCTGACGGAGTAAACCAGTTGGTCAAAGGTTTCTGCTTTGTACGCGTGGGTGGTTGTTGCTCGGATCAGGTAACCGAGCAGAACGGAGCAGTTGATTGCTTGCATCTTGTGGAGCCGCGAAATGCTGCGGTGGCCAGCGCTGTGTGAGCATCATCGAGCGCTGTAGAGGGGGCGGGGTGGGCCTAGGTCAGGGCCGTCTTAAGCTGAGCCACATCGTTATGACTTGGGCAGAAGGCAGGGCAGACTCTTGAAGACTGTCATTCAAGGACTTGCACTAACGCATTCAGAGAATTAGTCGGTCTGAGGTGTAAATCTGCCTGCCTGACTTCGGACTAATGTGGGCAGCTACCTCTCTCTGACAACAGCTTTCCAACCCTACTAAATACAAATGGTCACTTCCAAAGGGAGCGGGCAGCGACCTTCTCTGCTCCGTGGGTTATCAGCAGTGGGGATGGACCAAGCAGAAAGTTGGAATAGAGGAACCGAAGTATGTGAGCACTGCTGTCTGCTTGGTCTGGTAGCTACTTTGCTTGTTGCCTGCTTCCCCTCTAAATTATTCCCATCCCTTTGGTTTACCACTTCTATGACATTGCTTTACCAGCTACTTGGCTTAGGCTGAAGCTGCTTCATTCCCGGACCGAAGAAGGACGTTTTGTGCATGGAAGTTTGTCTGGTCTCCATCCGGAGAGCTGGTGCAGTAAAAGATGCCGCCAAACAAATCCTGCCTCTTTCGTTTTCTCTCAGCCGTCTTGGCATACAGGAGACGAGAGGATCACTGTCCAGCCCGTGTGTGTGGGGACCTGGGACCAGACTCGTTACTCGGTGCTGTGCGCGCAGGACTCCCGTGCTGGTGCTGATTCTGTCTCTGACCCAAACCTGGCCTCACCCTGCTGGGGGACCAGTGGTGCCAGCCCCAAATGCTATCCATCACCAGCCCTCTCGCCCCCACTCATCCACTCTCCTCATGCTCTCGCTGCCTTCCTGGCCCACAACTTTTCTCTGCTGTTTCAGGATTGTGGTCTTGGCTGGAGACACGCTGCCCATTGAAGTGTACTGCCACATCCCCGTGATGTGTGAAGACAGGAGCCTGCCCTATGCTTACATCCCCTCCAAGACGGTAAGGCGGGTGGGAGGGGTCTGAAAACAACAATCCCTGTGGGGTTGGGAGAGCACGGAGCAGTCTCGGGCCAGGCTCTCTCGGATTCTATCCCTTCCCCTTTCTGGTGGCAATAAACTTGCCCTGGGGCCTAGTCCAAGGTCCTTGCTGCTGCTGCTCTCTTGTGCAAGGCAGCAGGTTCACAGCTGAGACTTACGCGTGGAGGAGACGACGCTTCTTAGCTGGTTGAGCTCCTGTTGTCTGCCCTTGGCGACCAGCAGTAGAGAGCTCCACATATTTCAGTGGCTACGAGGAATGAAATGGCTCCTTGCTGCCCCTAGCTCCAGGGCTCCCTGTTGCAGGAAGTTATGGCTACAGTTTAGTACACTGTGACTTGGCTTCTTCAGTGAAGGGGGCTTCTGCGGTGGGTGCACAGTATCGTCCTGCTTCAGGCCAGGAGCTGAGCTGGTCTCCAGCTGAGACAGATGCTTCCCGCCAAGGTGGTTGGAGCTGCTTTGCCCATGGAGACCTCTATTAAACTGCTGTGGTGGGAACAGCGTTTGGAGCACTGGAGAAGGGAGCAGCTGTGGGGTCTGTTAGAGGCTGGAGACAGGCTGAGATGAACTAGCACGCTTGGGTGATTCCTAATTGTGTTGCAGCGGGTTCCCTGCGGAGCTGGCATGGTCATAGTGCAGCTGGCACCACGACAGCATTGCCTGCTACTGGCCTCCTGCTCTTCCGTGTTGTGTGGTAGAGCTGCGGCCCTGCTGTGCCCAGGGCACTGGGCAGTGTCAGTGCTCCCCTTACGGGCAGCATCGTGCTGCTGGGGGTGCCACGGGGAGAGGAGGGTGGGCATTAGACCCTTGGCAGGGGGAGGGCTCAGAGCAGGAGAGGGGCGGAGGCGTGGGCTGGGCTGCACGGTGCTGCCCTGGTGAAGGGGAGGAAGCCCCTGCACAGGCCCCAGGGGCATGGGGGCTGCCTGCCCGGCGCGACCTCACAGCATCTCCCTCCTTCCCGCGTTCAGGATCTGGGAACAGCTGCAGGCTCCAAGCGTCCGACCTGCGTGATCATGATCAAGCCCAACGAGGAGTATGCAGAGGCTTACGGAGAGTGTCTGGAGGAGGTGACGGCCCTCCCTGTGCCCTTGTGACATGGGGCACCCACTGCCCAGAGACTCGGGCTGCTGCCTGCCTTTACCTCCACAGCTCTCCGTAAAACCGCCCATTTGGGCATTTTTAAAGGAAGTTGTCGGCCTGCCCTGCATCGCCAGCCGGGGCGTGGGCCTTCTTCAGAAACCAGCACGGTGCAGTGGTGGGCCCGGCCCTGCTGCGGGGGTGCGCTGTGCTGGGCGCTGCCGCTTCTCAATAAATGAATTTTGTACGGTTTTAAACCACTGCTCGCTGCAGTCCAGGGGAGGGCCCCCCCACAGCGGGTGCAGGCTCACCACCACAGGCCTGTGCAGGAGCAGCCACAGGCTGTCCCCCCCGCCCGCGGCCGGCCCCCCCTCTCCCCCATCTCCCGTGCCGGCACGTGCCTGCAGCAGCCCATTGCACCCCCCCCACTGTGTGTGTGCGCGCGCTGTGTGAACAGCTGGGGGGTGGAGCGGGTCCCTGGTGCTGGGGCCGGGCCGGGCTGGGCCGGCAGGGGCTCCCGCCATAGCCCCAGGGCTTGGGGATTGGCTCTTGGGGGCAAGGGTTCCTGGTGGGGAGGCAGGGGCTCCTAGTGTGGCCCCAGGGTTTGGGGATGGGATCCAGAGTGGGGCGGGGGCTCCCAATGCGGCCTGACTCAGCGGCTCCTCCCGCGGCTGCGCCCGGTTTCTGGCAGCGCTGCCAAGTTTTGGTGGTGCCGCTCCCGGCCCCGCGGCGCTCCCGCCCCGGCCGCCCGCGTGGCACAGTGACACCCCTGGGGCAGCTCCGCCTGGCCCAGGCTCGGCCCCCGGCTCCACAGCGCTGCCAGCAGGAGCCCCCACCCTGGCCTGCTCCTCCAGAGCGTGGCAGGGTGAGGGGCTCTTCCCTCCCCCCCAATGCCCTTTGGGGACTGAAAACTGTCCCGGGCCTCCCCCAGCGCCCGAGGGTGGCGGCTTCAGGCCAAGGGGCCCCTGCAGCGGTGGTGCACAGCACCAAGGGCTGAGCCCCCCCTGGAAACCTGAGTGTATGCACACGCGCTGCTCTGCAGCTGCCTGCTCCCGCCGGGCACCACTGGCACCAGCCCCCAGGCCCCGGCAGCTCCTGCGGGCAGTGGGCAGTGTGGCGCGACCACGGGAGGCCAACGGACCGAGCTGCGGTAGGTTTATTCCAGGAGAGGCCAGCGGCACGGCGCCAAGCCTGGGCCTTCACATCCAACCCGGTGGGTTGTGGCCCCCAGGGCAAGCCCAGAGCCACGGAGCGCTGGGGCCACCCACAGCCCCCCTGGGTGATGGCCCGGCAGCCCCAGGCCTGCAGCTTTGCAGGAGCGGCCCTGGCTGGACATGCGGGGAGCCCAGCTCGCTCCCGTGGTCCCTGCGAGGGCGCCAGGCTGTCACTTGTGCCAGAAGGGAGGTGCAACTGCCCCGCTCCTTCCTCCAGCCTCCGCTCAGGTGGCAGGGCCAGGGACCAGGCAGCAGCAGTGGCTCCAGCAACGCCCGCAGCCCCTTCCGGCTCTGTGGGGGGCCCCCGTGGGGAAGCCCCGCCCCCCCCGCGCCACC